TAGCTCATCTCCTAAACGTTAATTAAACATTTGGAAGAAGTACTACTAAACTAATTTATGAGACTACGCATGCTAATAATGCCCTTTGGGTAAGCAAACATATTTGGACATTAATTTATTTTTTATTATCATTAAATATCTTAATTTAATTACTTCTAGGACTATATTGGCTAAACAATCATTGCTTTATGTAACAAGTATTAAGAAGTACTAACACCCAAGTTTTTGGCAGGGCTGGAGCCAACGTGAAGGGATTCTATATTTGAACACTTCTTGATGACTTTGAATGGAATTCCGGTTACACTAATAAATTTGGCATCTACCAAATTGATCGTGAAAATCACTTAGCATGAATCCCCAAAGAATATGTTCGTTGGTTTCGTCAAAACCTCAAACCCATTCCCAGACTCGAGAATCGTAAAGTGCCAACCTCTTCATTGCTCTCTACAGCCTAATTAAATCAAGAAATATATATCATCTTTGAAAGGTCTGTTTTTTATGCAAGTGTTATACAGAGTCTTATAACACTATTTTTAACACTGATATTTTGTTGAATGTTTCGGATTTAGGAACTAGTAAATAATTGTGCAGAAAAAGTAATGCAGAGAATAATAGTGCAGAAACATAAATAACACCAGGAATCGGATCACAGTTCAATACGCACACATACATCTGCGGGACAATGCTTAAATAATGAACAATCCACTAAATTTCAAATAATTGCAGACACTAATCAGACTTGTATACCCAAAAACTCACTCATTAACGTTTTTGCTGCATGTCAAATCTTCTTAATAGCCTCCACTTTATTTGCTTTTTAGGTGGTATATATAAAAAAGTCTATATTGGACTCCTTTATCAAATCAGCTCCATAATTTGCTCAATATAAATCCCACTGAGATAGCTCTTCCCGCAAAAACTAATTATTCACGTAGCACCACAATTTTCGTTCACGCACACACCTCACTTCACGTACACATACATTCACATATATACCGGATGAATATATATATATATCTCCACGTGACAAGCTCATCACATACTTTTGTTTCCATTTCTACCACCTCATCAAATATATTACTATATCCTTGATGCATAAAATCTCCTAAATCTTCTTCGAAATTTCCTTCTAAAAACTGATTTTCATCAACAAAAACATTCCAAATTCGGAGAAATCAAGCAACCAAAATAATCTCTGCTCTTCTCTATAAACGCCAGTTACCAAAAGTACATGTTTTTAAATTTTTACAACCAATACTAACAAATTGCCAACTAAAATCCTAACAATCTTATTATAAGAATAATGCTAGAATACAAACTCTAATCTCAATTTTTTTTGTACCAACTTATAAGACCTGTTATTCTTATATTGATAATTATTTAAAAGATTATCACGTCAATTAATAATAAGTAACTACATCTACCCAAAGTGAATAGTTATGGTCACATCGGTATTGAAAACACAATTCCTAAATGACCCCTTATAATAGAGAAAATTGTCGAACTTATCCTTAGAGTGAATGAGTTTAATTTTTACACTCACTTTTAATAAATATCCTTTTAATTAATACAGTTATTTGACTCAAAAAAAATATTGATAAGGAAATAAAGTTTTAACTCTATCAGGATGAATTTTTGTGTCCTTTCTCCTTTATCATATGCAGACTAATCTAATTCTGTCGTACCATTATCCTGATCTCAACTCATTATTTCTTTACCTTAATTGGAGGTAATTCTAAAAACTATGAATACTACAGAAAAGTCTTATAGGTTTGTATACCAAAAAAACAAAACAAAACAAAAAAAATAGTGAAGAAGACAGAAAACGAAATTACTTTTTGTTAAGTTGTATGCGCCTAATTATATAGTCGACACTGAATTTGCCTCGTCATTTTGTCTACCCACCCACAGAAACAATTATTATACACAACCAAGAAAAAAAAAAAAAAAAACAATCTTTCACACTTAACTGAAAAAGTGTGGTAGTGCATGTAAATTCATACTTTAATTTATTTTTATTTTTTAATCAACATACTACTCATATCGTGACGCATGTGCATGTAAATTCATACTTTAATTTATTTTTATTTTTTAATCAACATACCACTCATATCGTAACGCATAGAATCTTTTAAACCTTTTAGAGTAATTCCAAACTAGCCTTAAAATACACGTACCTTATCTAAATATCGCGTAATATTAATTATTCTGCGTGTAAGGATTGTTATGATCATGCCCAAAAACACAATAATTGCCTCTTCCCTAATGAGACGTTTTGAAAACTACAAACACGATATATAGAAGGGATAAAGTTTAACTTCTCCCCAGTGAAGAAAGAAAAAAAAATAGAAAGAACGAAGTAACAATTCATGAGTAACACTCATGAAAATCGATCGTGTAAATAAATGGAAATAAATAAATAAATAAAAAAGTTGTTCGAATGGATTAGTGTGAGAAATGAATGCACCTAATTATGTAGAAGTGTGAAATTGCCTCTTGCCGTGCCTCATTATCGTCCCCACAGCACAGAGACAAGCATGCAAAAACACAATTAACAACTCATAAAAGCTTCTACATGAGACCCAATTTCAGTAAGATATAAGGAAACATGATTTTCTTACAAATGTGTTGGAGCACATTATTATGTCACTCATCATCGTTTCAATGGCCTCGTTCGTTTCAGAATGGACAGTTTCCAGAGAAGTCCCAACCAGAACCGAGATTGTCGGTTTTCAATTTTTCGAAACCGCAACCAAAGCGTGGGGAATGAAGAACCAATATGAACACATTCCACCAGCATCTGATCATGTTAGTTAGAAACCCTCTAGTCAAATGTGTTGGAGCACATTATTATGTCAAAATCCCGTGAGAAATACGAAAGAGTATTTGCTATGTACAAAATTTGTAACAAGAAAATCCTATTGAGTCCTTAACAATTGGGCTGAGGAACAAAAATTTAGCGCATTGAACCACCATTCTTCATCGTCCAAATGAACATGTGAGGCCAGTATATCCGCAACATGATTTCCTTCTCTGTAAATAAAAATAAATTAATTAAAAAATAGAATTACATCATATTCATATAATAAATACGGAAACACATGTGCGGGCACCATGCTATCCCAATAGGTACTGCACTAGGGGCCTATGGATTTCTAACAAATATTGATTGCTGTTACGTAGCTTAATGTGCAATCACTCTTCTACCATCACTCTTAAATTTACATTTAAAAAAAATATATATTTGTATTTAATATGATAATAAATAAAATAAGTTTTTTAATCTTACTCTTCGTACTATTTAATAAATTTATTGGAACTCTTGTAGCAAAAAAATAATACTTAATTTTTTAAAATCACGGTATATTTTCTAACATAAGTCATAGTATATTTTAATTTTTTTTTTAAAACATCACATTTCAACAATTTTTTTTTTGAGACCATAGATATTTTATATATTACATTACTTAATTGGAATTCATAAATTTATTAAGATTTAATCCTTTTAAGAATATGCATATTATCAAAATACCCCTAGAATATGTATTAAGAGTCAGTAATTTCTTCCGTTAGAAACCTTAACAAAAGGAAGTTTTTGTTAACAATTCATACTTCAAAACAAACGGATACTATGTTTTGAATATAGAAAAAAAAGTGTTATTAGAGTCAAAGTTTAGGGAAATTTTTATAACTAATCCTCATATATCACATCATGTTATTTTATGAAAGTTCACATTAAATATTTTAAATCTGAATCAACATCATTTTTAAAAGATTTATTAATCTTACCCGATAAAAAGAAAGCTTCATAGCTGTATGTACTCTATGTCACTCTTACAATCTATGTGGTTACAATTTGAAGAACTAAGAAACAGATCTATGGTAGCTTTAGAGATGGGAGGTGAAGCATGATGAATTAGAAGAAGGGAAGCTCGATTTTGAACAACATAAGTGAGAGTAAAAAAGATAGGGGCGATAGTTAAAGCTGATGATGAAAAAGAGAAGACGAGACTTAATATATTACCAATCATTTGGTAGTGGAATTCTTTTTTTTTTTTTCTTTCCTTTTCTAGTTCATATGGTGCCTTCAAGGTTAATATAGCTTACCAAAATAGGTTTGTTTTACTTAGAAATCCATTTTTTCAAATAAGGAAATAGGACAGGTCAACTAGGTTATAATTGATGGAGTATTTTCACTGGTTTCTTATGAATTTTAGGGTCATATTCAGTTTAACTTTCAAATTTTAAAAATTCTCACTTTCAGTACTGAATTATATATTAGTCACCTTAACCCAATCTATTAGAATTTATGTTAAAAACATATTAAAAAAAGAAGGCAATGCGATCATAACTTCTAATAAAAAAAAAACACATAATCACACTTAATTGCATATCTTTCTTAGTTTGGTTTTAACATATTTTCACCAAAACGGTACTAATTCAAAAATTCAAATAGTAAAATGAGAGTTTTAAAGTATGAAGAAAAACTGAAAATAATCCTAAAATTGAGAGAACAATTGTGAGATTAACCCATAATTGAATCTCAAGCCTCTAAAGAACAATTTATCACCAATTTTGCTAGTAAGGATCGTCAACATGTTGCACCCATATGACAAGTTTGGTTCGACAATTTTTGAAACGTTATATTTGAGTTATATTCTTCGAACAAGCTTAGTGATAAAACATTGTTGGGTCCACCCGTCTCTCATCTTGTTTCTGACATAGGATTCTCAATATTGTCTACGTAGTGTTGCCATAAGAAATACGTAGAAAAGGCAGAAAAAAAATGACATCTCACATTGTTAAGGCTTTATGGCATTATTCTCAATTATATGTACATGTTTCTGTTAATAGTTCTACTACACGAGAGTAATGGATACGTATATATCGACCTGAACATCAACATTCACTTTTTTAATTTTATAAAAACTTTTTATTTATTTCTGGTCGTGCCTATATAAAGACCACTTGAGAGAATGCAAGGCAACGAAGAATTAAGAATGGAAACTCATCAAAGTCTTTCTCTCTTATTACTCTTTCTGTCCTATTTGTTGGCATGCAATGTTGCTCAACATCATGACATAAGTCGGAAGGATTTTCCACCTGACTTCATATTCGGAGCAGCATCAGCTGCTTATCAGGTATATATATTGCATCCAATTGTAGTTGTTTTTTTTTTTACTACTTTTATGATATGTGGAATTCCTATGTTTAATATACATATTTGTTGGCACCGAATTGTTGTTGTTGATATTATTTTTTACTACGTTTATGATATGTGGAATTGCTATGTTTAATATATATATATATATATATATATGTATATATGTGTGTGCGCGTGACAAAAGTATGAAGGAGTTTTTTATATATATGTACATATATGTGTGCGCGTGACAAAAGTATGAAGGAGCGACAGATGTGGATGGAAGAAAACCCAGTATATGGGATACCTTCACTAAGGATCATCCAGGTTTAATACAAATACTTTTTTTTTTTTTTACCTTACCATAACGTATTTGCGATTTTATCTAACATTTCTGTACCTTCTCTTGAATTTAACAGAGAAAATAGCAGATCACAGCTCTGGAAAAATCGCAGATGAATTCTATTATAGATACAAGGTTTAAAATGCTTGACTTGCTATAACTACACAGTACATTTTTAGTACTATATGTCTATATTTCCTATATTCTTTCACAATTTCTTTGGGATACATGAACTTACGCATGAGAAAAACAATAGTGAAATATACTTTCTGTCTATGTGGGATTTGCAAATATTATTTTTTGTTAGCCTAAAAATGCTTAAATTTGTCACAGAGTGACATCAAGCGACTGAAAGAAACGGGTTTCGACTCCTTCAGATTCTCTATCTCTTGGTCTAGAGTACTACCAAGTACGTTTTACTTAGCATTGTATTAAAGTATTAAACTAATATATATATATATATATATATACACGTATATATGCATATTTATGCTTTCTTGATAAAATTTATCAAATTTTTCTCTCAAAATATAATGAAGCTTATTTTTTTATTTTAGATGGACGTAAAGGAGACGTAAATCACAAGGGAGTCCAATTTTACACAAGTCTCATAGAAACGCTTATACACGAGGGTTAATTTCATAACTTTTAAGCATTCAGCGTATTTTACTCATAACATGGTTTTGGGAATTCTTGTTCTGACTAGTTTGGTTTCCTTTGATAATTTGTTTTTATTTGAATTTTGTTTATTGATAAGTAGGCATCGAACCAATAGTGACTATATTCCACTGGGATTTGCCTCAAGCCCTAGAAGATGAATATGGTGGATTCTTGAGCCCGAAGTTTGTGTAAGCCACCATTTATGCATCTTTGGATCGATATTTATATTTTATGTATGGATCAAGACAGTGCCAAGGAAATTATCATTATGCTAATTGTTTTATCTTATTTTTTATTAATTTGTAGGGATGATTATCTCGATTATGCGGATTTTTGCTTCAAAACATTCGGCCATAAAGTGAAAAAGTGGATTACCTTTAATGAGCCAATTATTTTTACTACCAATGGGTATGAATTTGGTACTTTCGCACCTGGTCGATGTTCTCGTTATTATGGAAATTGCACTAGTGGGAACTCCGGAACAGAACCTTACATTGTGATTCACCACTTAATTCTTGCTCATGCGAAAGCTGTAGACTCGTATAGGAAGAACTACCTGGTCAGTAATTATCTTTATGTATTGATATAAGTTATGTATATATGTATATATATGTGCGTGTCATATAATTGAAACCGAACGTATTTGTTTCAAACAAATAAATATTGTTTAAAGAAGAGATTATAATATATACGGAAATAATAACGAGCGTGTGTATATATAATATTAGAAAATGACAATTTAATGTAAGCTTCTTGTGTATCCCTTTCAGGAGAGTCAAAAGGGAATCATAGGGATAACAATACAATCTTTGTGGGCCGTACCAAAGTTTCATACACCTGAATGTTGCCTGGCTGCCTATAGAGCCATAGACTTTGGTTTTGGATGGTGAGATGTCTAACACGTAAATAGTTAAGATTTCTAATGACTTCTTGAAGTTTAAAATGTATACAAGTAGCACAATCAAGTTTTGTGTCCCTTCATTTTTGTCACCTTTCATATCTTTTTAATAATATCATGACAGGTTACTTAAAATGCCATGTTGATAAAATATCATATCACATCAATGAAGAAATCATATTCTCAATTAAAATAATATTTTAATTGATGTGTCATGTTATTAAGAAATTCAAAAATATACTACACCACTGATCAAGTTGTTGTTGTTAACGACTATATATATATACCATGACTTATACAGGGTTTTTCACCCAGTCACATTTGGAGACTATCCAGAAACCATGAAATCTTTGGTGGGAGGCGGCCGGTTGCCTAAATTTACTAAAGAAGAATCCAAATTAATAAAAGGGTCATACGATTTCTTGGGTCTAAATTATTATTCTGCAAGGAATACAGAGGATTCAAATGTTTCATGCCCCCTTACACATCAAGGTCCCTTATGTGATAGTCATGTTAATTTCACAAGTAAGTCTAATACTATCATACAGTTTACTGTCTCTACACCTATTAAATTTGGAGTTCGTTAATATTAATCAATTAATCTTTAATCTTCACTTAATGTAATGATACAGCTTCGAAAAATGGTGTACCTATTGGGAAGCAGGTACTTTCTTTGTTTCCATTTATCCTCTTTTTTTTTTTTTGGGTGCCATGACTGAGTTTTTAGCTTAAATTCCAAGGCAACAGCAAGAAAATTATTTAAATTCATAGTTCTCATTCTATGTGTGTTAATTTTAACTGTTTTACGATTGATGATGTAGGTTAATGGAACGTGGATGTTCATATATCCAAAGGGGATTGAAGAACTGTTGTTCTACGTAAAAGAAAATTACAACAATCCCATAATTTACATCACAGAGAATGGTAAGTTGTACTTAATATTTTTCGATGGTTATGGGTTTTTCTTTTTATTCCTGTTAATTTTTAATTGAAATTACAAAATAGAAGTAATAATTTATCTAGTACTAACGTATCTGAATTTAATTGAAATAATCGTACTTGATACATAGTTCTTGACCAAACAATTGATTGTAGATATGGTTTAATTGTTATTACAACAATCCCATGGTTATGGATTTTTCTTTTAATTCCTTTTAACTGTTGGTTTAATTGTCATATGGTTTAATTGTTATTACAGGGCTTCCTGATCCCCTCAATAGTACTTCTCTCAACGATACTGGAAGAATAGATTTCTATCGCCGTCATCTACGACGTCTCTCATTGGCTATTAAGTAAGCGCCAATATTTGCACTCTTCATTTTCTCTACTAATTGTTTAGACAAACTAATAATGGCCTTTGGATAAACAAGCATATTTCGACCAGCTTAGTTAATTTTTGTCATCACTGGACATCCTAAATATTTAGTATTAGAACTACATTCGCTACATAAGGAGAAAGGACGTAAATACCGGTTAAAGTGCACGGTTTAGATTGTTACTCTTTATTCTTAAATAAAATCCGAACTATATTAGTCAAATGGTATTAATTAAGAGTAACGGGTAAGAATTCAGAACCATGCACTTTAAGTAACAAGTTTTGAAAGGTACTAACGCCCAAGGTTTTTGCAGGGCTGGAGTCAACGTGAAGGGATTCTATATTTGGACACTTCTTGATGACTTTGAATGGAATTCCGGTTATACTTATAAATTTGGCATCTACCAAATTGAACGTGAAAATCACTTAGCAAGAATCCCCAAAGAATCTGAACGTTGGTTTAGACAATTCCTCAAACCCACTCCCAGAGTCTTGAATGATGGCGAGCCAACTTCGTCAATGCTCTCTACAGCCTAATTAAAGCAAGAAATACGTATAATCTGAACAATATATATATATATATATATATATATGTATTTTAAATAAGGGCTGAGTGTGGAGAAGAAACGGTATTTGTATGTTTAAAAAGCTACTTTGAGTTTCAGTGTGTGAGAATAATATTATCTATTATGTTGTGTTGATCATTTGTGGGTTTATGTATTTTAATAAGTTCTTTTTCCCTATTCTACTAAGTTTTATTTCAAGACTTTGAAAATGCAATCCATAAGTGGCCCTTATCTTTTCAGCATATATATAATGGATTAGGTCATGTCCAAACATACTAATTACCTCTCTACTCATTCCCTTCTTTTTTTCCCATATTTTTAACTTAATAAGAGGAGCTTCTGAAAACTATATATATGAAGGCCATACATTTGGACATTTAGTAATCATTATAATCACCCCGAGAAAAAGCTAATAATGGCCTTTGGATAAACAAGCATATTTCGACCAGCTTAGTTAATTTTTGTCATCATTGCACATCCTAAATATTTAGTATTAGAACTATTAATTTTTGTCATCATTGGCTACATAAGGAGAAAGGAGATAAATATCGGTTAATGTGCACGGTTTACATTGTTACTCTTTATTCTTAACTAAAATCTGAACTATATTAGTTAAATGGTATTAATCAAGAGTAACGTGTAAGAATTTAGAACCATGTGTTTTAAGTTAGAAGTTTTGCAAGGTACTAACGCCCAAGGTTTTTGCAGGGCTGGAGTCAACGTGAAGGGATTCTATATTTGGACACTTCTCGATGACTTTGAGTGGAATTCCGGTTACACTTATAAATTTGGCATCTACCAAATTGAACGTGAAAATAACTTGACAAGAATCCCCAAAGAATCTGTTCGTTGGTTTAGTCAATTCCTCAAACCCATTCCCAGACTCGAGAATCATAAAGTGCAAAATTCTTCAATGCTCTCTACAGCCTAATTAAATCAAGAAATACGAATAATCTGAACAATATATGTATGTATTTTAAATAAAGGCTGAGTGTGGAGAAAAAAAAGTATTTGTATGTTTAAAAATCTACTTTGAGTTTCAGAGAATAATATTATCTATTATGTTGTGTTGATCATTTGTGGGTTTATGTATTTTAAATAAGTTCTTTTTCTTTTTTTAGTTCTTAGACCTTAAAATGGTGCCTTCTAGATTAATATAACTTACCATAATAGTTTTGTTTTACTTGGAAATCCAATTTTTCAAATAAGGAAATAGGACAGTTCAACTATGTTATAATTGAAAGAGTATTTTCATTGGTGTCTTGTGAATTTTAGGGTCATATTTAGTTTGACATTCGGATTTTAAAAACTCTCACTTTAATTCCTAAATTATATATCAGTCACTTTAACCCAATCTATTAAAATTTATGTTAAAAACATATTAAAAAAAGAAGGCAATGCGATCACAATTTAACTGCATATCTTTCTTGGTTTGGCTTTAATATTACAACAAAATGGTACTAATTCAAAAATCCAAGTGGTAAAATGAAAGTTTTAAAGTATGAGAGAAAACTGAAAATGATCGAGAGAGCAATTGTGAGATTAACTCGTAATTGAATTTCAAGCCTCTAAAGAACAACTTATTACCAATTTTACCAGTAAGTATCGTCAACGTGTTCCACCATATGACAAGTTTGGTTCGACAATTTTCGAAGCGTTATATATGCGGTTTGAGTCTTTGAACAAGCTTAGTGATAAAACATTGTTGGGTCCACCCGTCTCTCCTCTTGTTTCTGACATAGGATTCTCAGTATTGCCTACGTTCCTGTGTTGGCATAAGAATTGCGTAGAAAAAAAAAAAGACATCTCACATTGTTAACGCTTTATGGCATTATTCTTAATTATATGTATATGTTCTACTATATGTGAGTAATGAATAAGTATAGTATCGATCTTAACGTAACCATTCACTTTTTAATTTTATTAAAACGTTTTCTCTTTGATGACAAAATGTCAGAAAAGAACAAAATGTCATGTGCGGTTTGTCTTTCAGATCTTAACATAATTATTTACGTTTTGTCGTGAGGTTTGTCTTCCAGATCAACATGTTTTCTTAGAGAATTCTTTAACTTTTTCTTTACTCTCTCTCTGATGATGGGATGTTAGAAAAGAATAGAATGTCATGTGTTATCCGGGGACCATCACCTTTATATATAGATAACTATCTTGTTATCTTTTGGTATTTCTATTGTAGCTTATCATAAAAATAGAACTTACCCTTAAGTCTTTACAAATTAAAGGCCCACTTCCTATTAGATACATTAAAACCCTATTATACAAACCTTAGTAAATCACTTTTAAACATGCTTAACATTATATGACAGTCCGCTACACATAATTATTCACATATAAGCCCAATGTTGGATTAAGGATCCAACAATCTCCCACTTAGGTAACATCTGTAACCTTTTAATTATGCATTGTAAAAATAACTATATGAGGTCAACTTTCCTATCATTACTGAAATGTATCTGTAACCAATCCGGTCCATCAATCATACCAACATAGGATCAAAGCAGCCTTCGTTACATCTATCGTAACTGGACCCACCAATGGTCACATGTGCCGAAACAACAGAATGACATGGATCATGATGTGGATGTGTAGCATGTAAATTTCATGCAATGTGATCTTTGTTGGTCTCCGAATCGAATTCGGATGCGGAAGCGTAGGGGGAGGGAAGAGGCGGATCGTGTATAACAAAAATTTTCATAAAACTTTTGAGATATTCTATAGATTATATTAATTTATGCACGAATAAATTAATCTTATTAATTTATATATATCAAGAACTCAATCAGAAAAAATACCTGGAAGCCGACTCGGATGATAACTTGAGATCTTTGACCATGAACAGTCCTTGCTCCAAAGCGTTGTGTTTAGAAAACCAATGTCTTCCACGTCAATTCCTAAAATCCATGAAGACGTGTGTGTGAGCACACATGAGATAAAATGGGTTACAATAAACATCGAATTTTCACAAACACCAACGCATGCACGATGTGAAATTTTTAGAGAAAAAACTTTTCCTTCCTCATGTGTTGAGAATTTCAGCCAGCCTTAACAATTAGGGCTGAAATTGTTTTCTAAAATTGTGTCCACAATTTTCTACTATTCTCATATTTAAAGAGTAGAAGTCAAATTTCTAGAATGAATCCAATCTCTATCTCTAAGATAAAGCTTGTCAATTATCTCCTATTTAAATTTTGAAACCAAAATATCCTCTTTACCTATATCCTATATGGCCGGCCATTCTAAGGGGATTCTCATCCCTGTGTGGCGCCAATATCAGATAGGGAAGGAAGAGAAAATTATCATTTATCCTGTAGTCCAATTTTAACTCAAATTCAAATTCCAATTTAAGTCAAACTTAAATTAATTTGAATTCTAAATTGAACAACTTATCAAATAAGTTTAAATGGATAAATCTAGATGTGTTCAAATTCAAATTTAAAAAATCACATTATTTAAATAATAATTAATTCTCAATTAATTATTTTCAAGTGTTTAATTTTAGAATTCC